CAAGTCAGCAAACAAGACAAGAAGCAGGTCGCAGTAAAAGAGAGGGGACGCCAGGGGGTCTAACGTTCGATCCCCCCCGACGCCGCCGCCGCCCACGCCCCCGCCCCGCTCCTCTGGTGACCAACGACGTGGACAAGACAGGCGCCGCGGCCGCCACGCGCGGCGCGTGCCGTCCGCATCTCTGCATTGCTCCCACGCTCCCACTGCCTCCTTGTCGCTCTTGTCTTTATATATCCCTCCCTTCCTCCTCCCTCCTCCTACTCATGCTCCCTCATCCTCCTGCTCCTCTCCGGGGTCCCTCTCTCCTCCTCCCTACCCCTCAGCCGCCTCCACGTCCTTCTCGTCTTTCTTGGGGGTTGTATTTGGGGGCCGTCTTGGTGGCAGTCTTGGTGGGCTGTCTTGGTGGACAATCTTGGAGGATCGTCTTGGTGGATCGTCTTGGTGGATCGTCTCGGTGGATCGTCTTGGTGGATCGTCTTGGTGGATCGTCTTGGTGGATCGTCTTGGTGGGCAGTGTTGGTGGCCGTCTTGGTGGGCCTTCGTCGAGGCCGTCTTGAAGCCATCATTGGGCCTCCGCTGTCGGTTGCTAAGTTGTTCAAGTCGTAGTCGCCAGCTCGATTGCGAGCGTTGCGAGACGACAGTTCGAGGGATCAATGCCTCAAAGATGTGGACAGAGATTTCTTCCAATGACTTTCGTTGCAAGGTTGTGGCAGAGGTGCTGTTTCAGACACCATTGTATTCAAGCTTGCGTTTTCGACTGCTCATGCTCTCACCTGCGTAGGGATTTCGGCTCAGCGGGCTCCCCAGGGTGAATGCCTAAGTTGGCCAGCAGCACAGACGCAGCGCAGATGCCCGCAACCGAGCCAGTCGCCGCTGCAGATGGCGCCGTCCCCGACGCTGATGATCGTGAGAAGGAGATTTCGGTCACTCCAGCCCTGCCTCAGACACCAGATGAGAAAGGCACTCAAGGTTCAGTCATGTCCGAGCTGATGGATGCTTCAAGCAGCAAATATGCTGTCAGCAGCGCTGGCAAGGGCAGCGCCTCGTTCGATGACGAGTTCGGCTTCAGCGAGTTCGAGTGGGGGGGGAGATTGCTGGCGGTGCCCGCGCCGCTATCGCCGCCCTCAGAGGCAACAGCATCAGAAAGAGGGCAGCGGGGCCAGACGCAGCCGCGGGCGAGCCACCGAAGCAGCCAAGGCGCAGGTCGAGTGGCAAGCCGTGCCCGCTTCCTTCCTGCTCAGACGAGATTGATGGAAACAGGAAGTTCTGCAAAAAAACACCATCGCGTCCACGAGTGCTTGGAGCGGCGCGCGTTCAAGGGAGTGAATCACGCCAAGCCCGAGACGGAGAACGAGGAGTCCAGGTCCTTCAAGAAGACCTTCGGCTACAAGCCAGGCAGGAAGGGCGGTGAGCCGCATGATGCAGATTGGGAGCTAGCTGACGAGGTGATGGCCGACATTTTCGCCAAGCACCCAGACATAGAAGACGCCCAAAGCAGCAGGTCTACCAAGTCGCGTGGTAGCGACGTCAGGTTGTCCAACTACATCAGTCGCAAGGGCACTCAGAGGGAGAACTCTGACATCGCAGCCAGGCCCAAGTGGGGCAATGAGTTTTTCGTGAGGAAGATGCAGGTGCTCCGGCCTTGGACGGAGGCTCGTTGCAACAATGAGTGGGCAGCGCTCGAGATGGACACGCCTGACGACCAGAAGGACATGCGCGGGCCTCCTGAAAGCCCACTTCGCCTTCCTGTTCCAGCGTGGATGGTGGGCGAAGACAAGCTCGAGCAGAAGACGACGAACTTCCACGCGCAGGAGATGATCACCAAGTCGGCGAAGGGCAAGGCCATGACTGATGAAGCCGTCGCCAGCGCAGTCAAGGATGTCAGAGAGGCTTTGATTCACTGGCGCATGCCAGCACCATCAGCGCAGTGCATGCGCCATCGAGTCGGGCTATCAATGCAGGTGATGCTGGTAAGCTCGCAGCCGAGATCATGGTCAAGCACGGGGCGTCCAAGCCCTCAGCAGGTGCCGAAGGCGCTGGCGACGCAGCAGCCAAAGATCCAGCAGATGAAGCATCCACGCAGCCGTTCGCGAAGAAGCAGAAGGGGCAGGACAATGTCAAGTTCGACGTGGGTGTTACGAGGCTGACGATCGCTGAGACACAGAGGAAACGTTAAGTTCCGAGGAGTCCAAGCTGATGAAGGCATTGACAGTTGCCTGCAAGACGATTGCGACGTGCCCAAATGCTAGTGCCGAGGGGAAGATGATGTTGCAGGAACGGTTTGATCTCGGATGTCGCGTCCTTGACAAAAAGATCGAGTACGATTCTACCAGCGGCAGCATCGCAGAGAGCGAGTGCAGCGTGACAGAGTTGCTGGAGAAGATGAAGGGCCAGTTCAAGAAGACGGGGGGTCACGAGGAGATGGACTTCCCCGAGCACCTCAACAGCGAGGGTGCGTTCTGCGACTACATCCTGAAGAACATGCTCGCCTCAGCTTGCGTGTTGTCCGTTGACGACGCCTCGAAGATCGTTCGGATGAAACGCATGAACGAGCGGTGCCAGAGCATCCGGTCAGCTACTACACCAAAGGAGATCGAGGATGCCGAATCAGCGATGGAGGACTTCAAATCCAACATGGAGCAGCTCCGCAACTGCATCATCACCATCGCCAAGGCTGCCAAGACCTCGAACGCCAACCACATGAAGAAGATTGCTGCCAGACAACAAGCAGATGAATCAAAAGCACGAGAGGCGGCGGTTGCTGCGGCTTCAGCAGCTGCGGCAGCGTTGAGGAAGCAGATCACCACGCAGAGGATCGGAGCTCCCAAATGCATTCATCAATCTGGCCTCTCCCTTCCCGTCCTCTTCAACCCGTAACCCCGCGAGGGAGATGGAGAGAAGGGGCAAGGGGGGGAAGAGGGCAGATTCGCGGATGCAATCAATGGGAGCTCCAAGAGGAATCTCTCGTCTGGCGTGTTCGCAATCGACTGGTCTTCTGTCGGCTGCCCAGAGGTGGTCACTTGCGACAACGAGGAGAAGCTCAAGGAGGCGCTGCAGACCAGCGCGGACATCATGGACAGCCCCTTCAAGCTGAAGGCGTCGGCCACTGCGGTTGCAGCACTCGCAAGATAAGACGTCAAGACGGGCCGCAACAGGTACTCCGAGAAGTTCCCTGCCGCAGCGAGCCAGAGGGGTGACAAAGCTACGGCTCCCATGCAAGAGTCGCATGGCCTAGCAGACGTCACGCTCATCTTCGAGGTAGTCGCACCCAAGTCCAAGCTTGCAGATGTGACCAAGCACCCGGTGGTGAATGCAGCATCGGAGAGGATTTGTTTTTTTTTTCGGGCTTCTCCCAACCTGCGTGGACATGGGCTTCGAGTCAGATCTGATGGGAAGTGCCAAGTACTTCTACGAGGGCAGCATGAAGGTGATATACTTCAAGGGTGCCGACCTGAAGAGCAAGATTGGGCAGCCCGTTCAGGGGGCAAGTTTCATCGAGCAGGCGTCCGCGATGCTGAAGAGCGTCGGCACGAGCACAGCGAAGGAGTGGTGCGAGAAGAAGGATATCGGCTGCTGCTGGACGACGGTCAACGCAGGCGAGTTCGTGGTCACGCCGCCAGGGTGGTTTGCGTGCAGCTCATGCACTCCCACGGGGCCGAGGTGCGTTGGCATCAGGAAGTTGCTGCTCGTCCAGCGGCAGGCCCATCGGGGTGCCCAGCCTGAAGAACGATCGCGTGCAGGCCGCCCTGGACATCTTGGTTGCTGGCGCCGCCTAGGCACGCAGGAGACAGGCGGCCAGCATCCAGGCGATGAGCTCGCCGAGCTCGCTGACACAATCATTCCTCATTATTCCCATCCTCCTCGTCCATGTCTTCCTGTCTTCCCCCCCTCCACACACGGGTCCAGAGCAGAAGACCAGCACTGCAGAGGCAGGGAAGGAGCACGAGAAAGAGAAAGAACAGGACGATGATGAGTGAAGAGGGGGAGGAGGAGGAGGAGGAGGAGGAGGAGGAGGAGGAGGAGGAGGAGGAGGAGGAGGAGGAGGAGGAGGAGGAGGAGGAGGAGGAGGAGGAGGAGGAGGAGGAGGGAGGAAGTGGAGGAGGAGGAGGAGGAGGAGGAGAAGAGAAAAGAGGGGGAGGAGGAGGAGGAGGAGGAGGAGGAGGAGGAGGAGGAGGAGGAGGAGGAGGAGGAGGAGGAGGAGAGAAAGATAATGTAGAGGACTCTCATAAACTCCGAGGCGCCGAGGCGGCGTCCTGGCCCCTCGGGAATCTCCAGGCGCGGAAACCCTACGCACCCCCATTGTCGAGTATCGTTCAGCTTTCTGCTCCGCCTCCCCGCTTCCCCCCTCGCTTGCCACCTCCATCCACTTTCCCTCCTCTGTCCACTCGATCCTCCTCTTCCTCTTCCTCCTCCTCTTGCTCTTCTTCCTCCTTCCTCCCTCCTTCCTTTTCCCTCCTCCCTCCTCCCCCCCCTCCGCGTCCTCCTCCTCCTCCTCCTCCTTCCTGGCGTCACCCTTTCGCTGAGGTTCAGCCGAGATCCGCATGGGGTGCGAAATGCGTGAGAGAGCGTGCGAGAGAGAGGCTCGGGTCATGGTAACACTTGAATAGATCGGAGCCTGCCTGAGCCTGCAAGCAACGTAGAGATCCAAAGATCTCAAGATCAGGAGATCCGAACTCAAGGGACTCAAGGGCCTTAGGGCCGCGCCCGGGGCCGTTTAGAAAAACCCTGGGCCCCCTTGTCGGGGAACCATGTGTACAGGGCCTGTACAACGGAATTGCAAGATTTGCCACGTACAGTCGACCCGCAGAGTAAGGACAGGCATCCCTTCCAAGGGTACCCTTGCATCCTTGCTTCCTGGGTCCCTCCTTGGACACTTTCGTTTTCTCCGCGCCCCGCTCGAGACGCTTCGAGATGGGCGTCCAAGGGCCTTGCATCCTTATCGCGCCTCCTTACTCTGCGGGCTGACCGTATTTTTTTCCGTGACCCGAGGGGGGTCTGGGGGACGAACACCTGGCCCGGGGGGCGAGGGCCTCGCCGAGGCCAAGGGCCCCGTCGCCTCGCGGCAGCCTCGTCCCTGGCCTCCACATCCCTGGGCAGCGACGCCTCGGCCGCCAGCGCCGCGCGGCCCATGGCTCCGGCGCCTGGCGCGCCCGCCGCCCTGCTGGCCGGGCCACGGCCCTGCGGCTACCAGTCGCTCGGGCCTGGGGGCGCGCAGGGCCTGGAGGTGTCCCGTGTCCGGTAGCCTCCCGGAGGGGGTCCGAGTGGATGCCTCGACCTGCACCTTCCGCACCCTCCGCGCGGAAGGTGCCGCCGCCGCTGCGGCCGCGGCGGCGGCCACGGCAGCGCGGCGCCTGCCGCGCGGAAGGTGCGGAAGGTGCAGGTCGAGGGGAGTCGGAGGATCGCGCCGCATCGCCGATGCGGCTCGATGTCGAGCCCGCTTTGCTCCACGTCAACGTTGCCAATGTATGGCCGACGTCGCGGATGCATCGCCGATGCATCGGCGATGTGTCGCCGGTGCATCCCATGCGGGTCCCATCGGCGCACGGCGTGGTGACCACACCGCTTGGTGTGCCAGTGGGGATTCGGGGCCACCAAGCGGTTTTGGGACTCGAGTCGTTCTCCGACACTCCCGCTGGGGTTCACTTGGGATGCAAATAGCCCTCGAGTTCTCAACTCCAGCCAGCGCGTCAGAAATCTGACCTGCAGGGGTCGGTTCACATGAGCGACGCAGAAAGATGGATTCAATTGCGCCGACTTTCGCGCGTAAGTTGACCGCGCAAGGTCGCGCGTAAACGCCCTCGTTTCCAATTTGACGTGCCACGATGGCGGCCCGCATAAGTCACCGTGTAAGGTCGCTATGCCACCTCGCGTAGGACCCCTTCCTTTTCGTCGCTGACATGGGGTTACCCCCTTCCTTTTCGTCCTTCAGGTGGGTGGCGGGGTGGCCTGGTCCATGGACCAGACGCGGCGCCTGAGTCCCACGGATGAACTCCATGGCCTCGTGCAGCACGTGCCAAGGATCGAGGCGAGCATCGTGAGCTCGGTCTCGAGCGCAGTGGAGCACCTGAACAGGGGGCTGCTGGAGTGCCGAGAGGGTCTCTGCGTGGTGTTCTCGGCCTCGGTCGACTCCAGCTTCCTGCTGTACCGTCAGGACCGGAAGGACGTCCTCCAGCGCTTCGGCCTCCAAGAGGCGCCTCAGGGGAACGCGGCGCTGAGCCGCTCGGCGTCTCGCAGGTGCTCCAGCTTCGACCCGGCCCCCCGCCGCGCCCCGCCAGTCATCACGAGCCCGCAGGACCGCGCACCTTCCGCCGCCGCCCAGGAAGGCAGGCTCGGCCGGCGCGCGGCACCGGCGTCGCCTGGCGGGGCCTGCCCCAGCTCGCCCCAGTGCGGCGCTGGCCGCACCCCGTCGGCGGCGCCCGCGGCGGCAGTCCGGGCCACCTCGGCCGCTGCCGCGCAGGCGCCGGCAGAGGAGGGGCCTGCCCTGGGCCCCAGCGAGCTGCGCGTGGGCGGCTCCAGGTTCCAGGTCCTCGACCTCATCGGCAGAGGGGCCTTCGGCACCGTGTGGCGCGCGCGCCGCGAGGGCGGCCGCGAGGAGTGCGCGGTCAAGGTCACGAGCACCGAGGACGCCGCCTCCTTCGCGGCGGCCACCTTCGAGGCCGAGCTGTTGCAGGTCCTGGAGGCCGCCTGCGCCCACCTGCGCCGCCATGTGCCACAGTACGTGGCGCACTCCGTGCACGCGAAGGACCTCAGAGGAGGGAAGAGGGTATGCCCATGCCATAATGCCCTTCCATCGTTTTCGCCTCTTGGGGTCTCCTGGGAGGCCTTCGTCGCCAGGGCTGGATCCGCCTCGACACCCTGACCAGAACGCGCCCCGGGAGAGGCCCGGGGAGTGGTGGTATCGTTGCCTCTGTGGTCTGCCCCAGGACGGCGGGAGCGGCGGCGGCAGCGTGCACCTGGCGATGTCGCACCTGCGCGGGCGCGCCCTCGACCTCTGGCTGTACGGCGTCAGCGACGAGGAGCACAAGACGCGCAACGTGGGCGAGCTCGTGGGTGGCCGGCTGCCCGGCGGCCAACAGGGGCGGTGGTCGCTCGGGGGTGCGTGTGCCGTCGCGCGGGAGATGCTCACGCAGCTCGCGCCGGTGTTCAGCGCCCTGGAGTTCAGCATCGTTTCACCGATCCTTCTCCCCGTCTCCATCCCGGTCCCCACTATCCGACCACCCCGTCTTGGGGTGTGCCCCTCAAAAGCCGAACGGAGCAGCCTCTATGCCCCTCTAGGGCCTAGGGGGCTATAGATCGGCCAGTGGGGCCCAGGCCACGCCGGTGGGGAGATGGATCGGTTAAACGATGCTCAGGAGTCCATCGCGTTCCACCGCGATGTGTCCGCGCACAACGTGCTCGTGGACTTCCCGGAGGGCGCCGCCGCGCCCAGCTTCGGCCTCATCGATTTCGGGCTCGCGGTGCGCTCGTCCACGTGGCCCCAGCGGTGGCGCAGCTCCAACCTGGCGGGCGACCCTCGCTACTGGGCGCCGTCCGCGTGGATGGCGCTGGCGCTCGGCTTCAGGCACGTGGCGGGCCATCCCAACTCCGGCTTCCAGCACCAGTACCTGTCGCGCATCGACCACTTCGCTGCGGGCATCATGGGGCTCGAGGTCCTCTTCGCCCTCTGGGACGTGGCCGCCCTGGAGGGCCCGTGCTCGCACCTCCTGGAGGCCCACGCGGCCTGGACGGAGTACTGGTCGGGCATCATCGTTCTGTTCCAGCAGTTCCACCGGCAGGTCGGGTCGGCTCACGAAAGGAGGGGGGGCATGGAAAGGCAATGGGGGTGTACGCACGAGATCTGCTGCCTGCACCGTGCTTCGGCTCCGCCGCCCTGGCGCCTTCCTCGATGCGCGGGCGCCTCTCCAGCGCCAGGAGGCGATGGACAAGCCGGCCGCGTGAGCTGGTTCGCTCACGCGATTCTCAGTGAGTACCCCCGTGCTTCGGTCTCCGGGGCTTGTTCCAATGAGACGCGTTACGCCCCTTGGCGGCTGCGGCCACCGACCGCTAAGTGTGCAGCGATGCTTGACATGGTCATGCAGATGCAAGCGAGGACGACAGCGGACAAATCGTGCCCTCCCAATCTCCTCTCGCGGCCTGTGAGGCGGGCTAGCCTCCTTTACTACAGTCAAGACGCCGAAACCAGGGACCTCTTCGGTCTCACGAGGGGCTCTCATGTTCGGGCCGCTCCGCAGATTGTCGGGCCTGGGAGCCTCTTCGTCGCCGAGGCCCGCCGCGATCAGAAAAGCCCTTTCGTTTCTTACTCAGCGTTCCTCGGGGCAACGTCAGGTCAGGGGGGAGATTGGCTCTGGGGGGCAACATCGACTTGGGATCGGCGATGCATCGCCAACAGGTCGGCGATGTAGGCCACCGGTGGCAAATCCGCACGTTCCTGGGCGGGGTGGGCTGTCGGCTATCGGGTCCCCGTCGGCGACCAGAGGGCGACTGGGGGTCGATGCGTCCGCCCTTGAGCCTGTCCCCCCTAGCGTTGCCCCTCGGTCCCCTATGGCAGCGGGTCGAGCTTTTGGCGAGGAAGCCATGCCTGACCGTTCTCTGCTTCCTTGCGGGGCGTGGGCGGGAGGCTCCTCCAGCGTGCAGGCTTCTCTCGATTCATTGCGGGACTGTGGGGCGAGAGCACCCCCCCACGCCACCACGTGGCGGGATCAGAGATGAGCCGCTTTCGCTTTCCCGACCCGCCTCAGGCCCCTTTTCTCTCTCGACGAGATGGCCTCTTCTTTCTTGAGGCGACCTGGCACGTTGCGGCCAAGCGTTCAACCCTGCCAGAGACTGCGAAGGCCTGACGGCCGGTGCCGCCGACCCTGAAGAGGACCACGACACGACGTCGGCGACGAAGTGGGCGGAGACGGAGGCCGTGGAAGATGATGAGGAGGAGGAGGCGAGGAGGAGGAGGAGGGGGAGGGGGAGGGGGAGGGGGAGGGGGAGGGGAGGGGGGAGGAGGAGGAGGAGGAGGAGGAGGAGGAGGAGGAGGAGGAGGAGGAGGAGGAGGAGGAGGAGGAGGAGGAGGAGGAGGAGGAGGAGGAGGAGGGAGGTGGAGCAAGCGTTCAACCCTGCCAGAGATTTGCATGTGAGTTTGTGCGTAGCCTGAGGCCCCCCTTTCTGCCCCAACAGTTCGTGCGTATGCCGCCGCTGCGCAGCCGCAGTAGCCGTCTGCTGGAGCCGCCCCACAGGAGCGCCTGGCTGCGCTAAGAGCTTTAAGAGCTTGGATAACCGAGAAGGAAGCGCGGCGGGGCTAAGGTGTGTCTCCATTTAACTGGTTCGGCCGAGTGTGCACTCCCCCCCAAACAAAAACAAAAATCCTCCCAGTGCGACCCTACCTAGGAGTTGGAGCATTTAGGGAAGCAACATCTACATCTACACCGACAGCTACATTTACATCTACACCTGCTTTGCACTGCAGGTCCGGCTTTGCGTTGCTTGTGTTTTGCTTTGCTGTTGCTGCTGTTGCTTTGCCTTTGCTTTGCTGCTATGCTATACTATGCTATGATATGTTATGCCATGCTATACTATGCTATGATATGCTATGCTATGGTTTGCTATGCTATGCTGCGTTATGCTGCGCTATGTTATGCTATGATATGCTAGGGTACGCTCGGCTGCGCTGTGTTACGCTAGGCTATGCTATGCTGTGCTATGCTGCGCTGTGCTATGCTATGATATGCTATGCTGCGCTATGCAATGCTGTGCTATGCTGCGCTATGCTATGCTATGCTATTATATGATATGCTATGCTGCGCTGTGCTATGCTATGCTATGATATGCTGTGTTATGCTCTGCTGCGCTACGTTAGTTGTTTGGTCAAATGCTAGACTCTCCCTGACCCCAGGAATGCGGGGGCTGTTTCCCCTGTCCTTTTCCCTTCCTCTTTGCTTTCCCCCCTCTTGCTCGTCCCCGCTCAAGCTTTCTGGGTCAAGCTGGGGGCCGGCCTCAGGTTGCCCAGAGGCCAGGGCGTCCCGGAGGCCCATTCCGGGAGCCCGGAAGATCCCGGGGTGACCCGGGAACGCCCGAGCGCGGCTGCGCCATGTCGCTGCGCGGGGCGCCCCTCGGCTAGGGGGCGGGTGGGCTGCCGCTGCCGGCCGTGGCCAGGCGCGTGCGTGGAGGGGGTCAGCGGCGTGCGGCGCCGGGGACCCCCAGCCGCGCGCTGCTGCGGGCCGCCGCGCTGCTGGCCACGGCCGCGGGTTGGCCCACCCCACAGACACTGGGGACTACGGCCCGTCGTACTACGACGACGAGGACCAGGACCCCCAGTTGCGGAAGGGGTATCGCGGGAACCCGATGATAGGCGAGCATGGGTTGCCGCCGGCGGGGGTTGATCCGCCTGGCGTCCCCCCTGTGCCGCCGGCCGCCCCGCCCAGGAAGGACGCCACCCAGCCTCCCTCCCCCAACGGCACTTCAGACACCTCCTGGATTGGGGGCTGGGGCCTGGGCCTGGGCTATCTCAGCTGGGAGAACCTGGGGAACCACACCTGGTCCTGGAAGGCCGAAGGGATGGGGGGCTGGGCACACTCGTTTGAGAACCTCAAAGGCGCCTTCTCGACCCAACAGGATACCGGCTGGCTGCGTTCCGACGGCGGCTTGGTCCTGCACCTGGCTGACAGCTGTGGCGTGCGCCTGTTCGGCGCGGCCTGGCCCATCGTCGGCTGGACCCTCGTCACCCTGTGCTGCACCGGCATGCTCGCCCTGGCGGCGCACAGCCTGCGGACCATCTTCGCGCCGTGCGCCTGGGTGTGCTGGGTCATCGGAGCAGCCGCCGGCTTCTGCCGTGCGTGCTGCTGCTGCTGCGCGCGCAAGCCGCCTGGCGAAGCAGAGGTCGATCGCCTTCTGCTGCCGGCGCCGCCACAGCCCATCGCGGTCGTCTGGGCCGTGCCCGCCACGGGCCCCAACACGACGACCTCCTTCTGCCAGAGGACCGTACGTGCACGTGGGACCGGCAGGAAGCCGAGCGACCTCCTCGTGAAACTAGACGGGCACGTGGCGCGGATTGGACTCATCTTCGACGAACCGGAACGGGTCGGCAAGAAGGGGCTCTGGGTCCAGTACAACAAGATCAAGGGAGCGAGCAGCAGGGCCTCCAGGCAGAAGCTCGAGCAGGGGAAGTGGGTGCACTTATGCCGCGGGGACTGCCAGCCCCAGGGCGAGAAGGCGCTCCACTGCGTGGAGTGCGCGGCCCTCGACTCGGCGGCCATCGTCGACATCGGCGCGCGCGCTCGACTGACCCCCTGCCGCTTCTGCGTCCTCGCAGGGCGGACCCTCGCCAGTGGAGTCCGCATGTTCGTCGCCTGCGTGATGTACTTCTTTTATTTGGCCTGCTGCTGCGGGCGCTGCAGCCGCCGGCGACGCCGCCGCCGTGAATCGGCAGGCGCAGCGGAGCCAGGCGTAGCTGGAGGAGTGGCAGAATTCCTGGATCAGGAATCCGAGTCTGATGTCGAGATCGAGGAGCGCCCCTGCGAGGCCGTCAAGGTGGGCGTCCTCATCAAGGGCGCGATGAGGCCCGTGGCCCCAGGTGGGTGCCGCGACGCTGCCGACGCGACCCCCATGATTCTGCTCTGCGAGGACGGACGAGCCTCGGACCTACCCCCCCCCCCCCCCCGTCGACGGCAAGAACGCCACGTTCTGCCTCTGTGAACGCCACGAGCAGGTCTACAAGGCTACCCGGCTCGGCGACAAGTCTTCGATCGTCACCTGTTTCCACCGAGCAGTCGGGTCTTCGGCCGGAGTACCTCTTTGCCTCGTCCATCTTGGTGTAGAAGCCGGCCGTGCTGCCCTCTGCTCCGTTGCGACAGCCGCCCCCCCCCACCGGGGTGTTCGCCGGCATTCGACGGCGAGTGGGGCCCGAGATCAGAGGAGCATGAAGTATTGATATGGATAGTTTTCCACATTTCCAGGTTTTCCTGTTCTCCCGCGCGGGCTTCAGGGACCACTGGTCGAGCGCGTTCCGTCGCGCAGGTTCTTCGCGCGATGTTCGCGGTGCACTTTTCGCGCATCGGAGCGCCCTCGAAGATTCCAAGTTGCATGCTGTGTTGCTCCTGGGGGGTCCGCGAGTCGCAGCTGCCGTGGCGCTGTGTTCGAGGTAGCCCCTTCGAGTGATGTTCGCGGGCGCAACGCGCGGCGCGCGCTGCGCCCAATCGCGCGCGGCGCGGCGCGTGAATCAGCCGGCCGCGCCCGTCGGACCGCCCGGACATTAGTTCCTGATTATAGCATGCGTCAGCAAATCTTTCCGCTTTTTTTCGCGCAAGCGTTTCCGGAATTTTTCAAAAAGGAGCCCGGAAACTTTTACGAAACAGGTTTGAGGGGTGGAATGCGCCCGCCGCGCAGGAGATCTGAATAATTCTGAAATCCGGCATTCTTCAAAATGGATTCCGGCATTTTCAAAATCGACCCCGGAAATTTCCAAAAACGGGTCTGACATTTTTCGAAAAGTAGGCCAGACATGTTCAAACATATTCCCGGATTTGTTCAATTTTACCCCCGGGGAATTTTCCAGAGTCGCGCGTGATTTGCCCTGCCAGGTTTTTGGGGATCCGTCGAGACGCGCGGCGCGCGGCGGCGGGCGACGGGGCGGTGCGCCGCCGTCCCCCCCCGCGCTCGGCAACGAGAAGGGGGGTCAGCAACTGCCAAGTAGCCCCTTACGGGCGACCGCTCGATTCCGAATGGATGACCGACCAGCGACGCCAGCCAGAGTAGACAATGCTCGACGCAAAGTGCACCCCGCGCGAA